ATCTGTGTCCACGGAATGCTGCTCAGTTTCCTTCATTTTTTGGAAATCAGCTCTCCTAAAGTCCAAAATGCGGGGTTGACTTGTCTTAGTTTCGGCCTTCCTTTGTACCTCAAATTGCAGGAGCACATGGTCACTTGCCCCTAAGGATCCGACCACTTCAACCGCATCGATCAGGTCCTCTGCATTTGTTAGGATGAGATCAAGAGTAGCCGAACCCCTTGTTTCCTCTTCTACTTTCTGGACCATGAAACTGTCTGCAAGGCAAGCAAGGAATTTGTTGGACTTTGTACTCTTGGCTGAGTTTGTTTTCCAGCAAATATCGGGATAATTGTAATCACCCATGACTACTACATCCCTTCTCTGTGACTGTTTGGTCAACTGTTGGCAAAGGACTTCATCAAGTTCTTCCTCCTGGCTTGGAGGTCTGTAGTAGATGCCTACAACGACATCGTTTTGAGTCCCAGTTCCCTTGATTCTTATCCAGATGCTTTGAAGCTGGTTTCCAGGATTGCTGTCTTGCATCTCTTCTGCAGCATAACATTTTTTGACATATAAAGCTACTCCTCCTCCTCTCCCCTTTGTTCGGTTTCTGTGAAAGAGGTTATAGCCCTCGATGTCTACATTCCAGTGATAGGAGTCATCCCACCAGGTTTCAGTGATGCCTATGACATCATATTTGTGCTGTTGTGCTAAAAGTTGGAGTTTGTCTTGTTTATTTCCCATGCACTGTGCATTAGTGTAAAGACATGTGAACCCCTGAGATCTTCCCCTGAGCTGTTTTATTTGGGATTATTGTGCTTTCGGTACTTGGTCCTCGTTGTGTTTGTGCAGCCCTCAGTTTAGCTTTCTGGCGGTTCCCTGACTTTGTGGATAAAGTACTGTTTGCAAGGCTGTTGACCCCCTCCCCCTGGTGGACCTAGTTTAAAGTTCACCTAATGAGGTTTGTGAGTCTGTGAGCAAAAAGGTGTTTTCCTACTTGTGTGAGATGCACCCCATCCCTTGCCAGTAGGCCATCCTCCTGGAAAAGCAGGCCATGGTCGAGGAAGCCAAAGTGTTCCTCCTGACACCATTTTCTAAGCCAGTTATTGACCTGTACTATTTTTCTGGCCCTTGTAGGACCGTTTCTTACAACTGGGAGGAGGGATGAAAAGACCACCTGTACATTACATTGTTTTAGCTTTGTTCCGATAGCTTGAAAATCATTTATGATCTTTTGAAAAGTATGCCTAGCAGTATCATTGGTTCCTACATGAATCAACATGAGGGGAGGACGTTGATGGGGCTTGAGGAGCCTGGTGAGCCTTTGAGTGATATGGTGTATTTTTGCCCCTGGTAGGCAGCATATTTCTAGAGACATCCCATCTGGTCTGGAAATGACGGCTTCCGTTCCTCTAAGGAGGGAGTCGCCTACTACCAAGACCTGTTTACTTTCAGGATTGACAGGGTCCCTTTCGTGCAATGTAGTGTGTAGATCCTCAGAAAAATGATCCTGTTGATGTGAATTGTGTAGGTGTAAAGTGTTGTCCTCCTCCTCGACATCCCCGGTGCATTTGTCAAGGACAATCCATTGAGATTCGTCCAAGAGCCTATTGTTCTCTTGTGTGTGTTCCTGTTGCACCTGGTCTATGGTTGGGGATGGTACACATTCATGATTCTGTAAGTGTGAATGTTGTGAAGTGTTCTCCCAGTCAGAGCTATCCCCCGCACACTGATCAAGGACGAGCCACTGATCAGTATCTAAGCCATTCTGGTATTCCCCAATATGTTGTGTTTCTTGGTCAGGTGTTAGTTGTGTGAGAATTTGGAATCTATTGTGTAACTGCAGCTGAGCAGAAGTATTCTGAGGAGGCTTCCTGGTCTTATGTCTCTTTCTAAGGGTGACATTCCTCCAAGCCTGTGGATTGTCCACATCTGAGGTGATCTCCTCTTGAGCCTTCCCATAATGTTGATGTGGTATGGGCTGCGTGTCTAGGACAGCATGCTGTGTGATGTCTAAGAACAGCTCGAGTTCCTGAATGCCCTTAAGGGTCTTAAAGCGGTCCTCGAGTTGTTGGATCCTCTGTTCCATGTGAGTGATCTGTTTACATTTGGGGCAGATGTAATTGAGGAACCCCCAGTGGCGCAGTGGGTTAAACCCCTGTGCCAGCAGGACTGAAGACCGACAGGTCGCAGGTTCGAATCCGGGGAGAGGCGGATGAGCTCCCTCTATCAACTCCAGCTCCTCATGCGGGGACATGAGAGAAGCCTCCCACAAGGGTGATAAAAACATCAAAATCATCCAGGCGTCCCCTGGGCAACGTCCTTGCAGACGGCCAATTCTCTCACACCAGAAGCGACTTGCAGTTTCTCAAGTTGGTCCTGACAGGACCAAACAAAACAGATGTAATTGAGTAATTGTTGCATGAAAAAGCTGAACATGCCACAGCTTGTGCATTAGATGGAAAGTTGTTGTGTTTGTTCCATCTGCAGGCTGCTAATTACCTCCCTTTCAGATGCCTAGTGTTTTACGTTGTTGTCTGTATGCAGGGGTACATAGGTTAAACAGGAAGCCCTGGCTTATATAGGTTAAACAGGGAGATAAGTTTGGCCCTGAGAGAAGCCTCCCACAGGGTGGTAACCAATCCGGGCAACGTCCTTGAAGACGGCCTATTCTCTCACCCTAGAAGCCACCCGCAGTTTCTCCACTCGCTCCTGACACGAGGAAAACAACAACCCGCACGTCGGGGGGGGGGGGGGGGGGGGGGAGGGGCAGGGGGAGGGGGGGGGCTTCTTCCTCGACGGAGTGAGTGAGTGAGTGAGAGTGTGTGAGAGAAAGAGAGAAAATGGAGTGCGCGGTGCGGGCTGCGTGGGTCGTGCTGGGCTTGTCCCTGGTGTGCTGGGGGCCGGGACCCTCGGGGGCTTCCGAGGCCGGAGAGGGTAAGGCGGCCCCCCTGCTTCCCCTTCCCCCCCTCCTTGACCCTTTGGTGCTCCCCCCCGCTCTCCTTGCCTCACTCTTCCCCTTGAGAGCGCCTCTGCACCTGGAAAGGAAAAGGGGGGGGGCTGGGTCCTGCCTCAGGGGGAGTGGGTTGGAATGGGGGGGGGGGAGGTGCCTGTGGGGCGCGGAAGGAAGGAAGGACGGGGTCCCTTGCCAGGCCCTGCAGCCCTCCCTCCATGTCCCCCCATCTTTCCAGACCACCCTGCTGTCAGAGACCCCCCTTTCTCCCCGAGAACCTGCTCTCTCGGTGCCTGGGTCCGTCCTTCCTTCCTTCCTCTTCCTTCCTTCTTCCTTCCTCTTCCTTCCTTCCTTCCTTCCTTCCTTCCTTCCTTCCTTCCTCTTTCCTTCTCTCTTTCCTTCCTTCCCTTTGTTCTGTTTTAATCACCACACAGTCTTCGTATTGCAGCTAAATTTAACATATTTTGACACTTTATTGTAAACCAGTGGTTAGCTGTTGTTAGGCATTTATTTATTTATTTATTTATTTATTTAGGATATTTGTAGCCCACCCTTCTCAACCCCCTGGGGGGGGGGATTCAGGGCAGCTTCCATCTGGCACATATTTGATGCCTACACATGAGATACAATAAAATACACATCAAAATCCATAATTATAACTAGTTAAAACATTAAATTAATACAATAAAGTGTATTTAAAAAGGGAGCCAGTCTACTGTCTGTCGTCCCATCGAGTTCTGTAATTGTAGTTTCCATTAAGTTTGTCCATAAACCATTTCCATAGCAATTGTCATCATTATCATCGTCAAGTCTGCGAGATTATCCAAAGGCCTGGTACCACATCCACGTTTTTAATTTCTTTGTAAAGGAGAGGAGGGATGAAGATGACCTAATTTCCCCAGGGTGCGAGTTTCACAGGCGGGGGGCCACCACCGAGATGGTCCTGTCCCTCGTCCCCACCAACCGTGTTTGTGACAGGGGCGGGGCCGAAAGCAGGGCCTCTCCAGAAGATCTTAAACTCCTAGGTGGAATGTAGAAGGAGATACGTTCAGACAGGCATCTTCAGGTCAACTTTGATTTTTCACAACCGTCTGATAGAGTTTTCTTGCAAAGATTTGTTAGAGGGGTTTTTCCATTGCCAATTCTTAGGACCCATTTACAGGCCATCTCAACATAGGGCTGGTCTGAAGTGTTGCTGCTTCCATGGAGGTATCTACATGCTCTGCCCCCAAACCATGGCAGCAGCAGGTATGGAGTCCAGGCTGCAGTCAGGCTGAATGGGCCAGCTGTCCACATGGGGCAGCAAGGTACTGGCCCATATGGACAGTTGGACCAGCTTCCTACAGCAACCCTGAAGTATAGACCTCCTCCAGAGTTTTGCTGAAACTTTGGAGCATTCCCCAATTTTTGTTAATGTGGGGTAAAATTGGGTGAACCAGTTTTACCCCATGCCAAGGTCTGAAAGTCCCTGAAAGTCATATGGATGTCCAGGAACAACTTCTGGATCAATTCAGGGTTTCTAACCTCTGGATGTTCAGGAGCAACTGCTCGTCCAATTCATATGGATGTCCAGCAGCAACTTCTTCTGGCCTGTGTAGATGCTCCCTCTGTCTGAGAATGTGATTTGTCCATGGCTACCTAGTTGATTTCCACAGCAGAGCACATCATCCAATTCTGGTCTCCTAGGGCCCTTCTAGACAAACTCTATGTCCCGAGATGTGATCCCAGGTTTTCTGTTTATCCCAGATTATCTGGCGGTGGGGACTCCTATAATCCAGTTTAACGCTGAAAACCTGAGATCAGATCCTGAGATATAGGGCCTGTCTGGAAGTGGTCCTAGACTCCTAGTCCAACACTAAAATGACTACCCACAGTGACTCTGTAAACTATTGCAAATTTGTTGTAGAAGGAGCAGGGAAACTGACACTGGGGTTAGGAGCTGGTTCAAGACAACAGAAAATCAATGTTACAGTCTGGACATGGCATTCACTGTCTCTAGAATGCACAATAATGCTTACTTCCGGGATGTGAAATACTTGGGTGAAGATTTACCATACTTTCATTCCAGGAGCTCCAAAGCATGTAGTTCTGAACCCAGTTCCAAAGATGGAGATTGGGAAGGAGTACATGTTTATATGCCAAGTTTCTGATGTGGCCCCCCTCAAGTACCTCACGGTGACCCTGTTCAAAGGAGGGAAAAAACTTCTGGTGAAGACATTTGAGGATTCGACTGCCACTGAAGCCCAAGATGTTGTCGTGCTCCATGTTGTCAGTGTGCAGAAGGAAGACCATGGGGAGGAAGTCACCTGCCAGGCTGTTCTAGATCTGAGACCAGACGGACCACTCTTTGAACTAGCCTCTCACACTGAATTGCTGGACCTTGTTGGTGAGTTTACACCAATGGACAGGGTCATGTATGGAAAATTGCAGCAATAGAGAAGGCTTGGGCTGCAGCACTATATAACTCTCATTGAGCCCAGAAGCGCTGATCTTTGGGTACTTCTTTACAAAGAGTAGGTCCTGTTTTTGTTATCTGGTGGGAGTACAGTCATCCCTTCACATTTGCTGGGGTTAGGGGCGCAAGTCACCCATGAAGATCCACACAAAACCCACTATTTTTTCTAACTGAGACCCCTTCTATGCAGCTGAATAAAATCCTACATTTTCTGCTTTGAACCAGAATATATGACAGTGTGGACACAGATAACCCACTTCAAAGCAGATATTGTGGGATTTTCTGCCTCGATATTCTGGGTTATATGACTGTGTGGAAGGGCCATGAGAGAACCCCTCTCTAGGAATCTCTAGGTATTCTAGCATTACTCTATGGCCAACGTTTGCTGAACACACTAGAGAGACTAGAGATCCCTAGTGAGGATTTTTTAATCAAAATAATAAATAATCACCTTCCCAACAATCAAACCCACAAATGTTTAAGACCAACTGCATTTATTTTATTCCTCACATTTGCATTTTTACATTCTTCCACTTGAGTCAAAGTTATATACATGGTGATATACATGGCTCTCCTCTTGCCTTCATCATCTCCACAGCATCCAGAGGGTGCTATCCAGCATTTAACACTGAAATGTGTAGCTTAATGGTCACTCAAAAATTGAATTTCATTAGCCACTGCTACAGTCAACAGTTAATAAAACACAATCTCTGATTTGTAATTGAAGGGGGTTCCTGTACTGATAACAAAATGTGTTATTAGTTCACTTCCACATAGTTTACATATTTTTAATTGTACTTTTTTATATCTTCCTGCAAACCAGAGGAGATAGTGACTGACCACCATTCTTATTTCATAGTTTCCTGTTTGGCAGGTGGGGATTCATCTCCTTAGGTTTACTTTTTTTAGGAAAAGGTTTTTCACATATTAAAATCTCAGGGTTCTTCCATTTCCTCATCTCTGTTTCTCACTGCTATTGTTTTGGCTTGCTTTCTATCAGCATTGGCAGTCAGAACCCGAGTTTGCTATGAAGAAGCAGTCATCTTTATTGTGGTGTTTTAAACATAATTGACACGGTTACTTTTGTTATCTTGGCAGATTTCCCCATGGATCCCCATCTCACAACCCCATTGATTGTAGAGACCGATACTGAGATAACTGTGACCTGTGATGTATCTGGAGTTTTTCCAGCCAAAGAGGTCAAGTTTGAGCTATCCTATGGAGGAAAGAGTCTGAGCCCTGAGGTCAGTGTATCAGGAGATAGTGCCAGTGCCCGGGGTCAAGTGTCCTTCTCATCAGAAGGAACTCACAGTTTGACTTGCACAGTCTCTCTGGGACCAGTGAAGAGAACAGTAGAGGGATCTGTGAATGTATACAGTAAGTATTGTGGCTATAATTGTCAATATTTATTTTATTTATTTATTTACCACATTTGTATACCACCTTTCTCAGCCAGGGGCGACTCAAGGCGGTTCACAGTCAGCAGCTATTCGATGCCACAACAAATCAAATACCATTAAAACAAGTATAAAAACAATTCAACATTTAAAATGTAATATATAAACAAATATATCTGTAAAAACAAGATCCTTGGCATCTCCTTACTAAAATCGTTGTCCAGTTGCATAGTCAGTCATTCCATATAGAATCATAGAATCAAAGAGTTGGAAGAGACCTCATTATTAACCACTTTCCTACATGTTATCTATTTCTAGTATCATGTTGTAAACAAGTCATTTCATGCACATATTCCTGCTGGTGCATGCTGGACTTTTTGACAATGTGTGACACAATTGCCTGTCCACACTTGCTTATCAAGATCTGTTGGCAGACTTGACCACTGAACGGGCTACAGCTTGTATTTTGTGTGCCCTTTTGGAACATAACGTAATCACTGCAACTTTAATTCTGCTCCACAAAAGATGAAAGACTGTTCAAAATGTATTGTCGAAGGCTTTTATCAGTGTGTTGTTGTGAGTTTTCTGGGCTGTATGGCCATGTTCCAGAATGAGATAATTATCATCATCATCATATTTAATTACTTATTAATCGCCCTCCATCCGAGAATGCTCTAGGCGATTTACAGCTAAATTGTAAAAGATAAAATACATACATACAAAAATTAAAAATTAACAGAGATCGAATGCTCTAGTAAAAAGCCAGGTCTTAAGTGCAGAGTAAAAGGCCCTAAGTCACGCATGGCTCTCATATAGGGTGGCAAGGAATTCCATAAGGCAGGGGCAGAAATAGAAAAAGCCCTGCGTCTGGTCCTTTCCAAGTGCACTTCTCTAGGACCCGGTATATGGAGTAAGTCACGTTGGGATGGTCGTTGCAACCTCCGATGATGGGAGAAGGAGAGGCGGTCCCTAAGGTACGATGGACCCTGGCTGTAAAGAATTTTAAAGGTCAGAACTAACATCTTATACAGGCCACGGTACTCAGTTGGAAGCCAATGTAAATGTTGCAGCACTGGTGTTATATGGCATTTCATGGGTGTTCTTGTGAGTAACCTGGCTGCCGCATTCTGAACAATACGGAGCTTTCGGGTCGTAGACATAGGAAGGCCAACATACAGGGCGTTGCAATAGTCCAGCCTAGACGTGACTTCTGCAACATGGCCGTACAGCCCAGAAAACTCACAACCCACTGTTCAAAATATTCTTCTTTCTTTATGTTTCTACCTCTCCCTGGTGCAATTGGAGGCAATGTCACCTACTTTGGGGAACACTGATCTAGACCACTATTTCTTAAATTGTGGGTTTTGAGCCCATCTAAGCAAGCACTAATTGCACACTATCAAACCATCTAATGTATGATGTCTGTTCTTGTTTGTTCGCTTTCAGGTTTACCTGCGCCTGTCCTGCGCCTTGTCCCTTCAGAAGTTGCTGCTGGTTCCACAGTGATGGTCAACTGTACCTCTAATGGTCCCGTGTCCCCAGGGGTTGTCATGTGGCTTAGGGATAACAAAGAAACCTTACTTTCCAGAGACTCTGACAACCTTTTAGTGCTGCATGAACTGAAAACACATGAAGAGGATGATGGGAGGAAATTTGTGTGTGAAGTGCAGCGGATGGTTGATGGGCAGCGTGTTGTGAAACACATCACTAAAAGTCTCAGCGTCTTCTGTGAGTAGGCCACATTCAGAGTATTTTCTTTTATTTCTTGAGGTTCAGAATACTTCCTATTTAAAGACAACATGACAGTGTCATTACATTTGAATTCACTTGGATTACATTTGGATAATATAATATATTGGATATACATATAATATTGATAATATTATAATATAATACAAAATAATACTAATAATAATGTTGTTGTTGTTCATTCGTTCAGTCGTCTCCGACTCTTCGTGACCTCATGGACCAGCCCACGCCAGAGCTCCCTGTCGGCCGTCACCACCCCCAGCTCCTTCAAGGTCAGTCCAGTCACTTCAAGGATGCCATCCATCCACCTTGCCCTTGGTCGACCCCTCTTCCTTTTTCCTTCCATTTCCCACAGCATCATTGTTTTCTCCAACTTATCCTGTCTTCTCATTATGTGGCCAGAGTACTTCATCTTTGCCTCAAATATCTTTCCCCTCAGTGAGCAGTCGGGTTTTATTTCCTGGAGTATGGACTGGTTTGATTTTCTTGAAGTCCAAGGCATTCTCAGAATTCCTCCAACACCACAGTTCAAAAGCATCGATCTTCCTTCGCTCAGCCTTCCCTAAGGTCCAGCTCTCACATCCGTAGGTTACTACAGGGAATACCATGGCTTTGACTAGGCGGATCTTTGTTGCCAGTCTGATGTCTCTACTCTTTACTATTTTATCGAGATTGGACATTGCTCTCCTCCCAAGAAGTAAGCGTCTTCTGATTTCCTGGCCACAGTCTGCATCTGCAGTAATCTTTGCACCTAGAAATACAAAGTCTGTCACGGCCTCCACGGTTTCTCCCTCTATTTCCCAGTTGTCAATAATTCTTGTTGCCATAATCTTGGTTTTTTTGTTTAGCTGCAACCCGGCTTTTGCGCTTTCTTCTTTCACCTTGATTAGAAGGCTCCTCAGCTCCTCCTCGCTTTCGGCCATCAGAGTGGTGTCATCTGCATATCTGAGGTTGTTAATGTTTCTTCCAGCAATTTTCACCCCAGCTTTGCATTCATCAGCCCCGCACATCGCATGATGTGTTCTGCATACAAGTTAAAAAGGTTGGGTGAGAGGATGCAGCCTTGCCGTATGCCTTTCCCAATCTTGAACCAGTCTGTTGTTCCGTAGTCAGTTCTTACTGTTGCTACTTGGTCCTTGTACAGACTCCTCAGGAGAGAGACAAGGTGGCTTGGGATGCCCATCCCACTAAGAACTTGCCACAATTTATTATGATCCACACAGTCAAAGGCTTTAGAATAGTCAATGAAGCAGAAGTAGATGTTTTTCTGCAACTCCCTGCCTTTCTCCATTATCCAGCGGATATTGGCAATTTGGTCTCTCGTTCCTCTACCTTTTCTAAACCCAGCTTGAACATCTGGCAACTCTCGCTCCATGTATTGCTGGAGTCTTCCTTGCAGGATCTTGAGCATTACCTTACTGGCATGAGAAATAAGGGCCACTGTACGGCAGTTTGAGCAGTCTTTCGCATTTCCCTTTTTTGGTATGGGGATATAAGTTGATTTTTTCCAGTCTGATGGCCATTCTTGTGTTTTCCATATTTGTTGGCCTATGGCATGCATCAACAGTTTGGCTGGGATCCCGTTGTCTCCTCCTGCCTTGTTGTTAGCAATGCTTCTTAAGGTCCATTCAACCTCACTCCTCAGGATGTCTGGTTCTAATTCAGTCACCACACCATCAAAACTATCCTCAATATTATTATCCTTCCTATACAGATCTTCTGTATAGTCTCGCCACCTTCTCTTGATCTCTTCAGCTTCTGTTAGGTCCCTGCCATCTTTGTTTCTTATCATACCAATTTTTGCCTGAAATTTACCTCCAATGTTTCTAATTTTCTGGAAGAGGTCTCTTTTCCTTCCTATTCTGTTGTCTTCTTCCACTTCCATGCATTGCTTATTTAAAAATAGTTCCTTATCTCTTCTGGCTAACCTCTGGAATTGCGCATTTAACTGGGCATATCTCCCCTTATCACTGTTTCCTTTTGCTTTCCTCCTTTCTTGGACTACTTCCAGTGTCTCAGCAGACAACCATTTTGCCTTCTTGGTTTTCTTTTTCTTTGGGACGTACTTTGTTGCCGCCTCCTGAACAATGTCTCGGACTTCTGTCCATAGTTCTTCTGGGACTCTGTTTACTAAATCTAGGCCTTCAAATCTGTTCTTCACTTCCACTGTATATTCGCTAGGAATGTTAGTGAGATCATATCTAACTGGTCTGTGTATTTTCCCTGATCTCTTTAGTTTTATTCTACTAATAATAATAAGATATTATAATTATATATTTTATATTAAATGGAATATTACTAATAATATTGCAGTATAATGTTATAGTACAATGTAATATATAATATTAATATTATGCTATGGTAATAATATAATACATTGTTTACTTGTAAACCGCTCTGAGTCCCCTTCAGGATGAGAAGAGTGGCATATAAATGTCGTAAATAAATAAATAAATAAATTATAATATACTATATTATATTATTATTATATTATATTAGTTACATGTTGGAGTGAATCAGGGAAGTCAAGTATTGTATCTTTACATTCATTTATACACTTGGTTCTCATCAAAGTGGTGGGCCTGCCATTTCACAGATAATCAAGGGGTTGTGATGATCATAACCCATTCTTCTTGTACCATTTTCCTAACGTAGAACATTGTGTAAAGATTGGCCACAGGTTGAATATCTTATCGAGAATTCCAAAATCCAAAATGTTCAAAAATCCAGTATTGTCCAAATGGGTGACACCTTGGCTTTCTGATAGTTCAGTTTGCACAAACATTATTTCATGCACAGCATTGTTAAAATATTGATATAAAATTACTTTCAGACTCATGTGTATAAGGTGTATATGAAACATAAATGAATTTCATGTTTAGACTTGGATCCCATCTCTAAAATATCTCAATATGTATATTCCAAAATCTGAAAAAAATCAGGACTAAGTATTTTGGTTCCAGGAATTTTGGAGAAAGAGCCCTCAATCTGCATTCAGGAAAAACATATAGCTTTCTGTTTATTTATTTATCTACGACGATTTATATGCTGCCCTTCTCACCCCAAAGGGGACTCGGAGAATTGGCCATCTGCAAGGACGTTGCCCAGGGGACGCCCAGATGATTTTTGATGTTTTATCATCCTTGTGGGAGGCTTCTCTCATGTCCCCGCATGAGGAGCTGGAGCTGACAGAGGGAGCTCAACCGCCTCTCCCCCGATTTGAACCTGCGACCTATTGGTCTTCAGTCCTGCCAGCACAGGACTTTAACCCACTGCACCACCGGGGGCTCCACCCTCGGAGTCTTAGTAGCTTTTACACTCAAGCCAATGTCTCATGATCTGTTAGCATCCAGTGCATGCTGTTATGACCATTTCTGCTGCAGATTTGTATCATGAGAATGGATAGAATCCTAGAGTTGGAAGAGACCTCATGGGCCATCCAGTCCAACCCCTGCCAAGAAGCAGGAAAATCGCATTCAAAGCACCCCTGACAGATGGATGTTGCACTTAAAGAAAAATAAACAAAGTTTATTTCATTTCATTCCAGATGGTCCCAGGATAAATGCTTCTTCCTGCCCTAATACATTAACCTGGAAAGAGGGTGACATGGAAACGTTGAACTGTTCAGCCTACGGAAACCCACCACCAAGTGTTGAATGCAAGAAAGATGGCACATCTTATAGTATTGGGATACCAATATCTGTCACCAGAGAACATGATGGCATGGTTCGCTGCAATGCCACTAATCCATATGATTTTGATGAGAAAGTTGTGACCATAGTTGTTGAATGTAAGTTAAATTCCTTACTCTAAACATGCTTATTTGAAAATATTTTGTCCTGTATTAGGTAGTCAATGAGGGAAAGTCTTTTAAGTTTGGGTTGCTGTGAGTTTTTTGGGCTGTATGGCCATGTTCGAACAGCATTCTCTCCATTTTTTTTTGCCTACATCTGTGGCTGGCATCTTCAGAGGTTCTATTGGCAGTGGCGCAAGTGGAGTGTGTGTGTGTGTCTGTGTATGTATCTGGAATGTCCAGGGTGGGAAAAAGAACACTTGTCTGTTTGAAGGAAGTGGGAATTAGAGTTACAAGAGTTACAAGCTGGATAGATGCGGGGAATGCCGTGGATGTAGTGTACCTGGATTTCAGTAAGGCCTTCAACAAGGTCCCCCATGACCTTCTGGCAAGGAAACTAGTCCAATGTGGGCTAGGCAAAACTACGGTGAGGTGGATCTGTAATTGGTTAAATGGACAAACCCAGAGGGTGATTCTCCCCAATGCTTCCTCTTCATCCTGGAAAGAAGTGACAAGTGGAGTGCCGCAGGCTTCTGTACTGGGCCCGGTCCTGTTCAACATCTTTATTAATGACTTAGATGAAGGGCTAGAAGACATGATCATCAAGTTTGCAGATGACACCAAATTGGGAAGGAGAGCCAATACTCCAGAGGACAGGAGCAGGATTCAAAACGATCTTGACAGATAGAGATGGGCCAAAACTAACAAAATGAAGTTCAACAGATACTCCACTTTGGCAGGAAAAACAAAATGTAAAGATACAGAATGGGGGACAATGCCTGGCTTGAGAGCAGTACGTGTGAAAAAGATCTTGGAGTCCTCGTGGACAACAAGTTAAACATGAGCCAACAATGTGATGTGGCGGCAAAAAAAGCCAATGGGATTTTGGCCTGCATCAATAGGAGCATAGTGTCTAGATCTAGGGAAATCATGCTACCCCTCTATTCCGCTTTGGTTAGACCACACCTGGAATATTGTGTCCAGTTCTGGGCACCACAATTCAAGAGAGATATTGACACACTGGAATGTGTCCAGAGGAGGGTGACTAAAATGATCAAGGGTCTGGAGAACAAGCTCTATGAGGAGTGGCTTAAGGAGCTGGGCATGTTTAGCCTGAAGAAGAGAAGGACAAGAGGAGATATGATAGCCATGTATAAATATGTGAGAGGAAGCCACAGGGAGGAGGGAGCAAGCTTGTTTTCTGCTTCCCTGGAGACTAGGATGCGGAACAATGGCTTCAAACGACAAGAAAGGAGATTCCATCTGAACACGAGGAAGAACTTCCTGACTGTGAGAGCCGTTCAGCAGTGGAACTCTCTGCCCCGGAGTGTGGTGGAGGCTCCTTCTTTGGAAGCTTTTAAACAGAGGCTGGATGGCCATCTGTCAGGGGTGATTTTAATGCAATATTCCTGCTTCTTGGCAGGGGTTGGACTGGATGGCCCATGAGGTCTCTTTCAACTATGATTCTATGAATGTTGCTTGAATAGCATTGAGTAGCCATGAAACTGCATAGAAGTAGCCTGGCCTCTGTTGCTTGGAGGCATCCTCTGTTTGGGAAGTGTTAACTGGCACTTGATTGTTTGCTGCCCAGAGTTCTCCTGTTTCTGAATGTTGTTCATTATTTACTGTTTTAAAATGCAAGGTTCAATGGACAGGTTATCAACTCATTTCAAGGGGACTAAATAGAAATCCCGACCAATGATTTTCAACTGTGGCCCAGTCCAGAAAGGTTGAGAATGTATCTAAGAGTGTCCATTCAATAATTGTGAACTAGAGTTGATTATTCTGTTTGAGTTTAGAGCATGTATATGCTCTAGCCTTGGCTTACCTATTTGACAATTTGCAACCCTATTTGGAATCACACCTCTTCAGCTTGATTTTCAACTGTGGCCCAGTCCAGAAAGGTTGAGAATGTATCTAAGAGTGTCCATTCAATAATTGTGAACTAGAGTTGATTATTCTGTTTGAGTTTAGAGCATGTATATGCTCCAGCCTTGGCTTACCTATTTGACAATTTGCAACCCTATTTGGAATCACACCTCTTCAGCTTCAAAGGTAGACGTTGCTTTTCTAGAAGTTCCAAGACCCTCCAGTGGATATCCTGGAATTCATTTTACAGTGTCGCTCAGGCATGGGCAAACTTCGGCCCTCCAGGGGTTTTGGACTTCAACTCCCACAATTCCTAACAGTCTACCTAAAAAAATCAGAATTGTATAATTGCAACTCTGGGAAATTTCTAGATAACTAACATTGTTTTGGTTTTTTCTTTCTTTCAGTTTATCAACTCAACATCCTTGCAATAATCTTGTCAATTGCTGCTGAGGCAATTATTGCTGTTGTGTTTTCTGTAGTCTACTATCAGTACTACATAACCCACAAATGTGGGGAATACCGCCTTAAAAAACAACAGCCTCAGCGAGAAGCAGGAAACGCTGCAGAGGAAAAGCACCTGGACGGTGACACAGGTGTTTAAATGGACAGGCGGCTGCTAGGAACTCAAGAGAGACCAGTCCCATCAGCCACGTGAAGATATACCTATTCTCCACGGTCATTCCCCTCCACCGGATCTGGTTGGGGGGTGGGGGTGGGAGAAAAATGGGGAAAGCCTTCACCAGGTGCTGAAAAATTGATGGGCAGCGTTGCAACTGGACTTTTAGGGAGAGCAAGTTTTTGCACTTTCATACAGAGGTTTGTAGCATTCACTACAAAGGAGTTTGCACAGAGAGATGGACTCCAGGATTTATTTCAGGATGCCTCTTTATTCAAAGCTGTCCTCCAACCTCACAGCTCCAGAAGAAGTCAGACAACTGCAGACACCTTGGTTAAAACCAGATTGCATCCAGCAACTTGGTGGGAAGCAACCCAAAAAGCCTTGGCTGGGTGGAAGCTTTGAAAGCACCATAAATGCCATTCTTGGTCCTTCTTTGTTCCATCAGGAGCTTGGGGATTTTGAACAGTTGTGCAAACACATTGCTTTGTGAAAATACTGTTGTCGTTGTCGCTGCTGCCACTGTCCCTTGCCCTGCTCTGCACCTGATGTCCTGGGAGGCCTTTTGCAGCACATGTTTGAACTTGAAAAAAGGTCTTTTACAGCTTGTGTGATGGCAAAGCCCACATCAAAACAGCAGGAAATCCTGGTTTCCTGGTTTTGTTTCCTGGTACATACAGTCAGGATTCTGTTGTTGAAAGATTCTACATGCCATAACACTTAGGCTGACTCCTTTTTAAGAATGTGAAGCTGAATTCCTTTCCTAGCCAGAAGATTTGGAGGATAGGTTGGGAGTGATCCTGGACTCATCACTGAGCCTGGAACCCCAGGTCTTGGCGGTGGCCGGGAGAGCTTTTGCACAATTAAAACTTGTGCGCCAGTTGCGCCCATACCTTGGGAAGTCTGATCTGGCCACAGTGGTCCACACTCTTGTTACATCCCGAATAGACTACTGCAACACGCTCTACTGTTCGGAAACTTCAATTAGTCCAGCGGGTGGCAGCCAGATTACTCACCGGAGCGTCATACAGGGAGCATACCACCCCTCTGTTATGTCAGCTCCACTGGCTGCCGATCCAGTTCCGAGCACAATTCAAAGTGCTGGTTTTGACCTACAAAACCCTATACGGCTCCGGCCCAGCGTACCTGTCCGAATGCATCTCCTTCTACATCCCGCCTCGGAGTTTAAGATCTTCTGGGGAGGCCCTGCTCTTGGCCCCACCTCTATCACAAGTGAGGTTGGTGGGGACGAGGAGCAGGGCCTTCTCGGTGGTGGCCCCTCACCTGTGGAATTCACTCCCCAGGGAAATTAGGTCATCGACACCCCTCCTCTCTTTTAGAAGGAAATTAAAAACATGGATTTGGGACCAGGCTTTTGGGTAATCTGGCAGATAGACAAGGGACAAGCGACGACTAGAATTGATGGATTTGACAATGTGGAATTGAATTTACGGACTCTGAGCTGGCAAACGTTGAGCACTAGATTGGTTTTTATGGATTATGATGTATAATGGATTTGTTTTAATTGTTTTAATTATTGTTTATATATGTTTTATTTTTATCTTATTGTTGTGTTGGCATCGAATTGTGCCTTTTGTAATCCGCCCTGAGTCCACCCTCAGGGGTTGAGAAGGGCGGGGTAGACGTGCGAGAAATAATAATAAATAATAGGTGTGGAATGGAACCATGCCACCGACTGTGATTGAAAGCAAGATCCCCCTTCTGAAGGTAAAACTAAAGGTTGTCTCCTGACATTAAGTCCAGTCACGATTGATTCTGGGGTGTGGTGCTCATCTCCATTTCTAAGCCGAAGAACCGGCGTTGTCCATAGACACCTCCCAGGTCATGTGACTGCATGGAGCGCCGTTACCTTCCCGCCAGAGCAATACCTATGGATCTACTCACATTTGCATGTTTTTGAACTGCTAGGTTCGCAGAAGCTAGGGAAGCTCATGCCGCTCCCCGGAATCAAACCTGCGACCTTTCAGTCAACAAGCTCAGCAGCTCAGCGCTTTAACCCACTGCGCCACCGGGGGCTTAGGAAGGGTATGCCTTTAAAAGACTACTTGGAGGTGCTAGATGTATGTGGGCACACTCGGAGTTTGACACCTCTGCTGGTATAAATCCAAAACAAGCCTTTGTCCGCACACAAAGCTAAAACGAAGTTTAACTTAAACTTGCTCTGCAATGTGAATGCAAAAAAACAAAAAACAAAAAAACTGTATTGTCTCAAAGATACATTTACTTGGTTCCCTGTATTCTGTTACACATGCATAAAAAACTATCCAGAAAAGAGGAAAGGCACTGGAAGTATTGAGATGCTTCTTTATCTCAAAGATACATTTATTTGGTTTCCTGTATTCTATTACACATGCATAAGAATTTATCCAGAAAGGAGGAAAGGCACTGGAAGTATTATTTGTTTTGGTTGTGTCAGGAGCGACTTGAGAAACTGCAAGTCGCTTCTGGTGTGAGAGAATTGGTTGTCTGCAAGGACGTTGCCCAGGGGACGCCCGGATGATTGATGTTTTA